CGGAGGCCGATCAGCACCGCTCGGCCCTCTTTCGCGTCGGCGTGCTCTGTAGCCCCCCCACTTGCGCTCGAAGAGCGTCTGCCGGAGCTCTGGGGCCCCCGGGCAGCGCCGAGCGGAGGCGCGCGGCAGGCTTCCTCACGAAGGACCCGCTCACGTAGCGAACGCCTGCAGCAGCCCCCGGGATCAAACCGCCCCGATGCCTCGCGATGAAGACGCTCCAGGCGGTCCCCCACGATCCGCCGGCGCTCGTGGCGGGCTGGGGCCTCTGTCAGCTCGGGCCGCTGCCGGGCTGTGCCCGAGGGCCGACGACTCAGAGCAGTGGGCCATCCTCAACCGAGAAGCTCCCGGATCGCGCTGACAAAGGAAGACTAGACCGAGGATCACCTTGATCTCCTGGCGGGCTGATGCCCAGACTCGACACCGTCGGTCCAGAGCGAACTGGGTGAACTGATAGACTGCCCACAGACACGACAGGGCAGGTCGGTCCAGCACGAAGAGACGCACCGCGTGGCCAATCCAAACCCGAAGGGCCCCCCCACGGAGCCGTCGGCGACGAAGCTGTTAGCCTGCGAGATGCACGCGCCAAACTCGTCGAGGTTGGAGGTGAAAGAGTCGGCGCTATGACGGCGCCCAGGTGTTCCAGCGCGCGGGTCTGCTCGGCAACGTCATGCGCGCGCATCCTCTTGTTTGCGAAGCAGGTTGAAACTCTATGTGCATCCGAAGCGTCGGCATTCGCACGCAAGAGCGCCGCCTTGTCAACGTGCGCGGAGGTCAGGCCCGCGAGGGGCGCGCGAGGGGCCCGATGCTTCTCCCGAGCGGCTCTGCCAAGACCGCCAGGGACTCCAGAGGCGACGATGTGCTCAGCGGCTTAGCGACAGAAGTGGGGGGGGGGGCCACGTAAAACCCATGCTAGGTGCTTTGAAGCACGGGTGCGCAACATCTGCAGGCTTCACGGGCACCATCTCTCCCAAATCATCGCCCCAGACCTCTGAGACGCCGCGGGCGCCGGCCTCGTCGGGGCCATCGAACCAGCTAGCCATCCTCCAGTTGTCGAGCTGGTAGAAGCCATCCCCGATGTCCAGGGGGCCCCTGGAGCAAGCGAACGAAGCCAGCCCGCCATGGCCTTTGAAGAAGTGCTGCTCTTCCTCGGCACTCAGCTCGGCATCTGCAATCTCGGAGAGCTCCGCCAAGCTGAGATCAACGTCGGCCACGGTGGCGACGGTGCCAAGGTCGGTGCGAGGGGGGGCCCTGCACTTCTCGCCAGCGGCGCAGGCGTCGACGATGAGACGAGTCATCCCAGTCTTCTTCCAAGCGGATGAGATGGCGACCCTAGAGGAGATTCGGCGCCTGAAGGTGAGCAGCTGGTCTTATGCGAGGCGGCGACGAGCTCGCGTCGGCGCTTCTTTGAACGCCGCAAGTCTGCGCGCCAGTACGGGGTAGCGGACGCGCCAGACAGGCGGTCCGCCTTCAAGACGTGCCTCTTGGAGCCCAGAGCCTGTCGAAGCGCGCCGGGCGGAAGAGCGGGCCCCGGCGGGGGGGGCACCCTTGGTGACCCTCAGCTTGTCGGGGGGGCGCGGCTCCATGTGCCGCGGCTCCTGCGCGTGCAAGTCTTTCGCTCTGCGCACCTCATTGAGCGCGTCGAGCGGGGCGACGCCTTCCAGGCGATCGCCGCGCAGTGAGACGCGTCATCCAGTGGATCGAGGACCAACATCCGCGAACTCGGCAGCCTGCCCGAGCTGCCTGAGTAAAGACAGCGATCGTCTGAGCACGCCCTGGCACGGTGCAAGAAAATCAGCAAACGAACAGACCCCAGAAGACGCTGGTCTTGATGTCGGTGCCCCGAAGAGGAGCCCCTGGCAAGACAAACAAGCAGGGGGGGGGATCGCCGCGCCGTTGCCGACCGCGACCACGCAGACCACGGCGCACAAAAATCAAAGCCCGAGGCGACTGACTGGAGGCTCCTGCCTGTGAGAACGGGCGACCACGGGAGACGTCCAGGCACTCGTCCACGCCCAGCCCCCGCGGGGGCCCATCCTTGACCCTTGCCCTCGTCGGCGGCCCCGCGACCGCCGCCCATCGCACCCTTGGGCCCCTCGGGGCCACTCCGACTCTTGTCCTCGGCCGCCCTCTCCTCGCGAAGCAAGCGGGCCTGCTTGAAGGGGAAGGCTCGCTGGCTCTGCTTCTCGGCGACCCACTTCGCGAACCGAGGCGCCACAACTCTGCCTTTGTCCTCCGTCGTGCCCGCCAGCGTGTGCCCGAGACCGCTGTAGTCTGGGTGGTGGGCGCCCTTCTCAACCGCGAGCTCATGCTGGATGAGCCCCTGACCAGCTGCTCCGCCATGGCCGAGCTTGCCGAGTTAATCTGGTCACGGGTGAGGCCCGAGCGCAGGGCCTCCAGGATGATCCTGCGATTGCGTGCGATGCCACAATTGGACGACACCCCCGAGGCTGAGCACCAGTTCCGATGATGCGCGTCGAACGAGCCATCGGTGGTATCCCGGACCCCGACCAAGTACTCCTTTGTCGCCCTGGGGTCCGGGAAAGGATTGTCCTCGAAAGGGGTCTCCCCCGGCTTCTCAGCAGCCTCCTTTATATGTGTATATCGTCGGCCAACTGCCGACCTGAACGCCCCCAGTAGACGATAGACGAGAGTCTCCTCCCCGCCACGACGATTCTTCCAGGGCTCCAGGTCAGCACTGTTGACCCTCTCGACGTGGACCTCTGATGTTGAGTCGGCCATGTCGGATTGGACAACGCCCGTGGTCTCCCGGAGCAGTGAGCGGCCCGGGTCATCCAGCACGCCTGGCTCGACGCGCTCGCCGAGACTCAGATGCGTGGTGTCGCTGACCACCCGGACCTCCTCGGCGCCCACCTCGATGTCCGCCCCAACGATGTCCGCCAGCGCCCGAGCTCGAGCAGGTGCCTCACTGAACTCACGTACCGGGATGGGATCGAAGAGGAAGCAATCATTGCGGCACATATCGGGCACTGGCACTGGCCTCCCTCTCGCGAGAGGCTCAAACATAACCGTGGAAGTGTCCAAGATCTGGAGGTCACCCGTCGGTGTGAGAACAACCCATCTCCCTCCTGTGACGCGCACCAGAAAGACTCTGTGGTGCCAGGTGAAATTCAAATCCAGATCACAGCTTACCAAGACTTGTCGTTCCTTGATATTAAGAACGCTCACGATGCGTCAGAAAATCGAAGAGACGAAAGCGTGACTGGACCACTGCGCGGTCGAACGTCTGACGGCCCCTGCACCACAATAGGTTGCTGCCTGGCTGAGGGGCGACTGCACCGGCCAATGATCAAACCCGTCACGAAGACGATCAAAGAGGAAGTGAACGTGATGCTCACACGCAGGGGCCAGCTCGTGGACCGTGGCAACTGTGTCTGCAGCGCCTCCAATTGATTGGACAAGATCCGCTTAAAGTGTTGACAGCCGGTGTCGCCTCCAGTCTCACAAAAAGCAACCTCAAAATGACAATGGCACGTGGGTTCCGGACTCGGAGCACTGTAAGAGATGAGGTCCCGCAGGACGGCGTAGACAAAATGAAAGTCCAGAGGGCTGATCGCGTTGCCGCAACGTCGCTGCGGGGCTTCTCGAGCATAGAAAGGACTACTGTCTGTGTCCGAAGGCCTGTCTCGCTGTGAAAAAAAGCGCCAGAGCTGACATATTCTTCTCTACTTGCCACATGCGCGCCCGCCAGTCCGCCCGCTCGCCGACGACGACAGTGACAATGACAATGATGACGACGACGAAAAAAAACAACGACGACAACGAGCAACCACCATCATTTTGTACCTCCCTAGCACGAAGCTTGCCCCCTCTGCCCCCCCACTCCGCACCCCAATTTCTGGGCTTGACAAGCTTTCAAATTCTCAAGAGCCCCATCAAGTCTCAGGGGCCCGTCGGAATATGTATAAGACTTCTTCGGATGTCCTCGTGGCACCGCAGAAGGCGGAACACACATATAATGCTGCTCTGCTCATCACGTGGCAATCCGAGGAAGGCGAACAAGTACTAGTAAATTCAACTCGCCACGTGGTAACGCAAGGGTGCGGAAAACATGCCTATCTTCTGTACTCGGCAAGTGGCATTGCAGAGAGCGGAAAAAAAACTCGTACTGATTCTCGCGCTCTGCACTTGAGACAACGCGCGTCGACGACAATGACGACGAAGATGAGGACGACCGCAGTCGCGACGACGATGGGACAACGACGATAAGGAACACCGCGACAAACACTACAGCGATAACGAGGACAACCGCGACGACGACGACGCCGACGACGTCGACGACGAATACGACGACGACGACGAGACTTGGCGCAGATCAAAAAAAAGGAGGGGAGGGGGGGGTGGCTTCCGAAGATTTCCCCTTACAAAGGTGAGCCCGGGCTTCCCCCTAGCCCCGAAAAAGGGGGAGGGGGGGTAACTTCGGAAGCTCCCCCCCCCTGACCGGCGACCCCTTGCTTCGCAAAGGGAGGGGGGAGCTTCCAAGCCCCCCCATTCGAACGGGGAGCCTGGGCTCACGTTGAAAGCCCCAAGGGAGAGGCGGGTCTAGCTTCCACCCCACCCCCTTACAGCAGAGGAAGGGGGTAGCTTCCGAAGACCCCCCCCCGTGCAAAGGGAAACCGAAGCCCAGATCCACATGTCAAAGGGGAGCACCAGCTTGCGAAAGGGAGAAGGGTAGCTTCGGAAGCCCCCCCATTTTAGAATGACGCCCCCCCCATTTTAGAATGACGGGGGGGGGCTTGAAGCTGGGACGCCCTTCGCATTTATCACTACCGCGGCATGCATACACTAGCACGAAGATAGAGCTGACCCTACCTGACAAGACATTGACGTTCCAGCGAACGTGAAGAAGAAAGAAGATGGTGAACAAAACAATGAGGAATAATACGAGCACGAACCGAGCGTGACATTACAAGCACAACCAACAACAATCACTATAATAAGGACAAGGATGCCATCGAAAACGGAAGGAGTGCTGGACGCGCCTATCAATCATCGCAGCGTGGAAGGCGGCACGGTCTTGAAGCCTCGAGTGGATGCGGGCTGGCAGCTTTTACAAAGCGCCCCATCGACCCTCTTCCCCCCGAGAGAGAACCGCTTCGAACGCCAGCTCCTCCTCCAACACCGCTTCCTTGCGATCGCGAGCTTTTGCTTAGCGTGCCGCGGCGGCGGCCCCTGCGACACCCTGTGCGCAGCTAGCTGACAGCGGGTCGCTCTACTTTGCGGGGCGAAGGGCTGGGAGAAACTCGTGACGCTAACTCTTGGAGACTGGGACGAGGCGGGCGTGTCGCGCCCAAGCGTGGTGGGCCAGAAAACCGGCGGCGCGACACGCTAATCAGGCGCTCCTGTTCCTCTTTGGTTCGTTCCCGAGACAACTTGTCTGTACGATTTTTTTAATGTCCCAAGGTTCTTCGAGAGGCCACAGGTCCATCAGTGCAGTGCCCGGTGATGCATCACCGTCTTACTCGGCCAACTGCTTCGCCAGAAACGGTAATGGCAAGAGCGGCGGAGAGGGGGCGAGATCGGCCCGCTCGCTGGGCCTCCAGCCTTGCTGCAGCATCGAAGGCGTCCAATCCCTCCACGACGTTGTTGGATAACTTCGGACATTCGAAGAAAAACCGATGTGCATTTCGTGCGCCTCGGATCCGATAGGTGCGCAATCTCCCGGAGTCTTGAGCTGAATACGGTCTTGCAGACCGGGCACATGCCAGACGAGTCGATATAAAGCCGAACATCGCATCTGAAACCATGCTTCGCTCGTCTGTGAGACAGCAGAGCCTTCTGCGAATGAAACGCAGGCGGGTCGACGACACCATCATTGGCACAGTCGGAGCAAGCAAATGTGCGGGGAGGAGGGAGACGAGGAGGGGGAATAGGGGGAACGCCCTGGTGCGCTCCGTCACCACACTCCATATTGGCTCCTCCCGCAGCTTGGCCACTGTGCACATGACAATGACCTGCGGAATACGGACCGTCAGCGACCGATTCCGAATAGAAGAGCTGCTGCACGAGCGGGCTCCAAGAGGCTCCGCAACCTCTGATGAATTTCCCCCACGTTTCTGGGGCCTCGCTGGTGGAGGGAGAAAGAACTGAAACCTTGCAAACACCGGGTCTCGCAGCACTCCCATGTCAGAAAGGATCAATTTGGTCCACGGCATGGGCTCGCCCTTTGGGCGAGCGTGCAGCAGCGCCAAGAGTTCCTGCGGGCCCGACGCGAGAATGCGATTCAAGTATAGCAAACGGGCTCGCTGTAGCAGGCAATCCACAAACGGAAAATACAGTTTGGCGCGTAGCTGAGCATCAGCGTGGTCAACTTTGCCAAACCTGACCTCGCCAAACATGCGGCGGATCGGCCTCGTCATGACTGCATTGCGCCTACGAATGTACTGACGAGCGGGCACTACAATATGCGCGTTGATAAAAAAAAAGCGCGTGCACATAAGCGAAGACATGAGGTGAAGCTTGACCCGATCATGGATGGCCGGGGGAGCGAAAATCTTCACAGCGAGAGGGGGGTCGGCTGCCAACGTAGATTGCTCCTTATGCCTAGCATCTGCCATGCAAGCTGAATCCAGCGACAGATTCGCGCCAAGATGCTTGTGATGGTCGACAACGAAGAGTCTGGAGGAGCTCCTGGGGACTTCAAAAGACAGCTGGCCGTCGCGACAGTGCGACGCGAAAACCTGCTGAACCCCAGACTCCCGAAATCGAACCAAGGCCTTAGTCTTCCCCTTGGACCAGTTGATCTCGAGGTCCAGTACCGAGAAAGATCCCACCAAGGCCTTCAGAGCCGTGGGGGTGGCGGCCTCGAGTTGCCGCGCACTTTTGCTGACGAGAACAATGCGCTCGTCATCCACGAACGCACAATCAGAGATGTTGGCATGGCTTGCAGGAGGGTCGGCGGGGGCCCCCCTAAACTCAGTCGGGCCGGGGCAGAAGAGTCGCGGCACCAACCCGGCCACTTTGAGTTTATCTTTCAAGGCGGACAGTGCGATTGAATAAACGGCATTGAAAATCATCGCCCCTACCATGCAGCCCTGGCGGCTGCCGAGCCTAGTGCATATCGCCTCATCAGGTGATCCAATGCAAAACCACGAACTCTCGCGTAGGTTCCTCAGCAGAGCGACTGTTGTGCCATCGACGTTCCACTGCTCCAACAGTGGGCCGTGCTCGGAAATAAAAAGCACGCGCGTGCTGGGCAACCTCCCGGGGAAATCCCAAGCTCGCCAAGTACCGAAGTCTCGACTCTGAGTCAGCCAGGACCGACGAGGGAAATCCGAACACTAACTCACGAACTACCCGGCCAAAAGCTTTGACAATATCAACAAACATGATGCAGATAGACCAGCCGTTCTTCTCGGCCAGTGCAGCGACAGCCTGAAGAAAATGTGAAGTAAGCCACGACGAGGCGCGGCTCCAAATTGTGCGGATGGCATTCTATCGTTGCACATTGGGCCCACAACGCCCTTCAATCGCGAGACAAAAGATTTGCCGACAAGGTCGGCAGGGAGGATGCCGCGATAATTTTTCCGTTCAGACGTGGGCCCCTGGCCCTCGAAAAGACTGGCCATTCTTCCCCCTGTCCACTGCGTGGGCCACCGGAGAGACTCGACTACTATCTGCTCGACTGCAGTGGCCTTTGCAGCTGAGACCAGCGAATTGGGCCTGTGCCCGGAGACGGCCTCACTCGACTGAAAATGCTTAACCTCGGCTCGGAATGCTCTCTGATAGTGCTCCTTCCAAACAAGGTCCCGCTAATGGGATGAGGCGTTCATTTTTCCAGAATCCGTGGTGAGATTGACATTCCCCGCAGGCTTGTTACCTGTGAGCAGTCGGACAGCCTTAAAAGTGCCCGAGAATCTCGCACTCAAGGCATGTTGGTCCAGCTCAGCGGCATATGACTCGAACAGCCTGTTGCGGTCAATGTCACGCAATGACTTGACAGCGCTCTGAAAAATGCGGACCCCCCCTACTCCACGCAGCAATTGAAATGTCAAAACGGCCGATGCTAGACTGGATCTCCATGCATTTGGCTTTTTCCTGCCAACCGAATGGCCGCCGAGCCTGACACGGAAAGGGAATGGACACAGCTGACGCTAGAGCGTGAAACACTAAAGCTAATTTCTGCTTGATTCTCACCCGCCACAACCCATCGGAAATCCGACGAAGCGGGGCCCCCCGCCTAAGCACGGACCAAGTCAGAGCAGAGATCCATGGCTTACGAGGGGGGTCTTTCTGAGACCCATACGCAGCAACAGAAGCCCAACGAAGGTGCGAATTGAACTGCTCGTCGTGTTCAGTCGCGCTGGAGCCGGGGAGAGGGCGAAACCGCCAGACCAAAGACTGAAAATGCTGCCTACACTTCTCATCCTGCAGCTTGGACCGGTCAAAGCGGCACTTGTGGATTAAACGAGAGCGCGACTGCCCGGTGCGGGCAGGGCCCTTCGCTGGGACAGCTCGGACCTCACAGTCTGCAACAACAAGCCTGTGATCAACAGACTCCGAGAGTGACAGATCGATGCCATCTTCGACCCAAGCACGGCGAACACGAGGAAACTCGGATTGAAGTACACATATGTAGTCGATTCTCGAAGTAGTTCTGTACGTTGACATCCACGTCCAACCTGCCTGAAAGAAGGTGTTGGTAGCAGCACGCTTAAGCTCCTCCAGAGTTTCCCGGAACATGGCCCCATTCGGGGTCTCCCTAGAAATTTCGCATGTACCAATCGAGGGAGACTTAGTAGACCCAACCCTCGCATTGGCATCGATCTCCATCACAACTGCTGCACTTGCATACCTGCTTCGCCACGCTTAGATATGTGAAACGAGCAGCTCCCCAAAAGCACATTGGTTTTCAAGACGATCCAAAGAGTGAGGGGCATGAGCTGCCACCAAGATCGCTGGCGCTTGATCGTCACCATCTGGCCTGATCGAACCTGCTGCTAACACAAGCCTGGGGCCCGGGGACTCCCAAGCCTCCGGCTTGAACCGCAAGTCGTAGCTCACCCACAACTGCGATCCGTACGAACCGCGCGCATCATCAGCAGCAGCGCGGAACATAGTGAAGTACGTCCCCTCCCTCACCTGCTCAACCTTGCACCGCCCATCCTGAATTCCAAGTATGTGTATTGAATGGTGACGAAATTGGCACTCCAACAACGCAACCTTCGACATAAGGGTGGCGCCCACCACCCGGCTGTACGATGCATTCTCTTGGTTGGTGTAGAGGGTGCGAACATTGCCCGAACCAACCCTCAATTGCACGCTTGGCGAAGCTGCTACGTCTGCGCCTCCGCCACCTTCTCCTCCTGAAAAACCTCCTCGACATCCGGGCCCGCATTCGGATTGTTCTGCTCGCCCCTCAAGCGTCGCTTGATAGCCTGCTCGTCGGAGGTGGGCATGGCAGTATCTGGAGGTACTGCCGTCGCCACTGCTGCATTCTGCGCCGCCGTCGCCGACGCAGCCATCGCAATAGCCTGGAGGCCCGTGAGCACCTTCATGATATCCTGCTCCGCCTGGGCCAAGTGGACCTGGGGGATCACCGGAGAAGACTTCATGTCGGCGATGACCGTCGTGAGAGCTTGAGTCGAGGCCTCGAGGGAGTTCGGCATGCTGACCTGCATGGCTTTCTCCTCGAGCTCCTTCAGCTCGGTGGTCTTGGTGATGGACTCCTTGGTGGCCTCGTCGAGGGCGGCCTTCGCCTTCGCAAGGGCCTCCTTGCACAGGGCCTTCCTCCTCTGAGCCCTGTCGACAGCAGCCCGACACGACACGAGTTGACTGCTGAGGGGCTTCGACATCGTCACGCTCCTCTTGAGCGCCGCGATCTTGGACTGCAGCGAGGCCCTCAAGTCGTTGAACTCGGAGCCTGGCGGAATGGCCGCAAAGGAGTTCTCCAACTGTTTGATCTGGGCACCCTTGTCCTCCGTGCTGTGGAGGCCCGCTGGGGTGGCTGAGGGTTTTGGCACGTCCACTCGGCCGTCGGCATTGGATGCCCCGCCCTGCAAGAGCAGCTCGACTTCTTGCAGCTTCGCAGGTGCACGAGCATTCGAGGTGCCCTGGCCGACGACCTGCGCCCAGGCCTTCTTCAAATCGCAATACTTGCACTTCTTGGCATTGCCGGTGTTCCACCACGAGCAACCGGGAGTCTCTCAAGGCCTGCCGCGTGCAACCGGGACCCCGCTGCGTTTTCTCGCACGGCTTTTCCAGGCCCAAGACGGGCCAACAGCGCCCCAAGAGGCCAAATCATTGCTGCTTCATAGGTTTTCAATAATTTGTGGGGTCTCCACTTTTTGAGCTTCCGACGTTCCAGGACATGAAGACGCGCCCAAGACGGCCCAAGCGGGCCCCAAGGCGACCCCAAGAGGGACCCCAGAGGAGAAGCACGAACCGAAACTCCGAGCCTTCCGCTTCAAGAAGCACCCAGGCGGCCCCAAGAGGCCCCCAAGAGGCCCCCACGAGGCCCCGAAACCCCCACGAGGCCCCCAGAAGGCAAACAACATTTACCGAAAAGGCCTTTCAAATCGGTCAGGCGCCGCTTGTCTCCCATTGTCTCATGTTGTCTCTCGTTGTCTCCCGCTGTCTCCGTTGTCTTCCGTTGTCTCCTTATCTATCCCTGTCCCTGGCTTTCTATCCCTATCCCCATCATCTATATTCCTATCCCTATATTCCTATCGCCGCCCCGGTCCCTCCCACTACCCTATATCCCATCCTTATTACATCCCCAGCACTGTATCCCTGCCCCTGCCTACACGCCTATAGCATGCGTATTAAATCTCGCATTGGCAATCGCATCCCTGTTCGTATGAATGGGAGCCGCAATAATATTCGTGTCTACTTTCGTTCGAATGATTACTGCACTATTTGTTCAATTCTTACGCTATTCCAAATCTTCTGCCGCGAGGGTGTCATTTTACAAGAAAGGAAGCACCCAGGCCATCACCAGCGGCGAAACGGATTGCGACAGCCCAAGGCCTCGGCCCGATTGCACCAATGCGATCTCCTACCGCATTCATCAGCCTCGCGGCGGCGGCCGCTGCGACACGCTGCGCCCTGCACATCATCCGCCTTTCCCCAGGAAGAGCAGGAGGAGGAGGAAAGAGAAGAAAAGGAACAAGAAAACTATGAGACCTTCCGCTCTCCATCTGGCTCCCCCCTCCTTTTGTCCCCCCTCCTCCTCCTCCTCCTCCTCCTCCTCCTCCTCCTCCTCCTCCTCCTCCTCCTCCTCCTAGCCCACGGGCCCGAGCAGATTGTCAGTGGCTGCTGCTCGCTCATTCAGCCTCAGTGCTTTTACTGAAGAGATCTGGGGGCAATAGTATCTCCTGTTCGGGCGCGATGAGCGCGACATCCTCTCTGTACCCCAATGCCGCGCAGGTAAAGACCTACAACCCCGCGTCGGTACTCGACCGCGGCCGCTTGGGCGGCATCTTCAGAGAGTTCAGGCAGAAGGCAGTGGTCGGATTGCACGGTGCCCGTCTTCCACTCCAGGTCACGATTGATCTACCCATCGAGCAGCGCAGCACTGGTAATCACATCTACTTTCGGCAGGACATAGCCATAGCAAGAGGGCAAACACGCATGCTGGAGTAGACACCGGTTTGCATCGGTATCTTTTCCGATACTCATGTATCAAAGATATTCGTGTTCCCAGCGATCCCCGCCTGCAAGGACGTGGCAGATGCATTCGCACCAAGACTGACAGCCATGACGTTACGTGGGGGAGTGTTATTTCCCGTCCGAAAACGTAGGCAATCGTCAGAGCATATCACCTTTTTCCAGAAACTTGTGGCACGGGCTTCTCAGATAGTGGCAAGACTACAGTCACGAAGTATACCAGTCCTAATGATGGGTGACAGCGGCAGAATCGGCAGCGTAGCAGGACCCTGAGGATTACCATGTCATGATGACAGTTTGGCAATAGGGCACCACTCGGTCGAGCCCACAAATACTAATGGATTTTACCTTTGGCAACCATAAGTCGATCACAACATCTGCGCAATGAATCCCATGTTTCGTCATCGAGCTGAACCAACACACTACAATGTGGCCACTAAGACGCAACATCGGATTGACTGCAGACGCGTCCGGTTGAGACAGTTGACTTCGGGTGCGAATCATCCAACTTGGGTTCTGGAAAAAGCAGGCAGTCGACTTCAACTCATTCAATGTTTTGTGCCAGCGGAACATCGACCAGTACAGATCCACATGGATATCAAGCTACAAAACCAAGGAACTTCAAACAAGCTGGGATGGAACCGTGCAAGATTAGTCCAGGAAGTTCCACGGTACGAATCGGGACTTGGTTTATGATCGTCCTGAGAAATGGTGTGCGGACGGTGAGCAGCAGTGGCAACAGTTGATGGCAGATGGATCGGTTACTCAGGCGTGGCAAGTTCTAATGGACGCACTGCAAGGCGAAACGCCGCATTTCTTCAGCCCCCCCCAAAAAAAACACAGTGCAGCAGGGCCTTGCGCAAACAAAACTTGGCATACTCCATGAAATACGCGAGTTGCGGCAGAAAGTTGTGCAGCAATGGAATCATGGTAGTAAAGGGCCGATACGATGGATTTTCAAGCTCCTGAGTATTGGTGACCTTCTGGTTACTTTTTGAGATATGATGAGTGGGTGGCGAGTGGCTGTGGAACTTATCACCCGGGTGACTCCAACCTAAGACCCATGGAGGCCCAACCGGAAAGAAAAAAAAATGGGGCGCGCCGAAGAACCCAGGGGGTCCGGTTTCCGCGGAGGAAAGAAAAAAACCCTGGCGATGGGGTTCGAGCACGGGGGTTACCCCCCCCTCAAATTCCGGAAGAGGAATGAACTCCCAGCCGCGGGGGTGCCCGCGCGAGGGGCCCCACCCCCCCAAGCGCAACCGGAGGAAGAAAAGCGTGAGAGCCGAGACTGTAAGTGCAATGCAACAACACCTTAATCGCGGTTACACTAGGGATTTGTATTAGTACGGGAACAACTGAATTACAGCCAGTGAGGTTTGGGTTCGGGTTCGGGCTTATATATTGGGAACCCAGTATATTGGAAACGCAATATATTGGAAACTCAATATATTGGAAACCCACTATATTGGAAACCCAATATATTCGAAACCCAATATATTGGAAACCCACTATATTAGAAACCCAGTTGTACTCAAGTACGAGTTGTACGGTAGTCGGAGGGGTTCAGGGGTTCCAACGGCAACGCGCGCGGGGAAGAAGGAAAGAAATCCATGCGCCGCCAGGGGTCCCGGGTTTAACGGGTCGCCGCGAAGGTTGACCCCCCGCGGAAAGAAGAAAAGAAATCCGGCCGGGGGGTTGGGGGGTTGAGGGATGAGTCACGGGGGCGATTGGAACTTTCTCGTGCCAGTGAGACAGTAACCACGCACACCAAGGCGGCACAGGCAGACAGACAGTTAGCTCTAATGGGGGCGTGTACTCACGCCTGGACGGACAGGAGACATGCAGAAACACATCAGCTGGCACGACACAAGAAACTGACCCAGAAGACGGCGATGTGGCAGGCCTGTAACAGTGGTATTGTTTGCGGCAGAAGCGGAAACACGATTTTCTCAAGCTGGGAAAAGGGGATGGGGCGCTTGCGGGACCACGGACGCCCGGTTGTTCATTATGGCTCAGGGAGCGCGGCTACCACCCAATGATGAAAAGCGGCCTGAGGCTGAACGTGATCTTCTTCGTGCCATCATTCTGGCTCTGGGCAAAGCTAAGCACAGACGTGCCTCTCCAGATTGTGACCTTCCAGCGGAAATACGGCATATTCCCCAATCAGAGCTTGCCTCTGTAGGGGTCCTAGCGGATTTAAGGGTAGGTGAGATGTGCCGCCGATTCGGTGGCCGGGCCCGGGTGCCCGGGTGCCCGGGTGCCCGGGTGCCCCGGTTCGCCGCCGATTCGGTGGCCCGGGTGCCCGGATGCCCGGGTGCCCGGGTGCCCGGGTGCCCGGGTGCCCGGGTGACGGGTGCCCGGTGCCCGGGTGGGTGCTGGGTGCCCGGTCCCCGGGTGAATGATGCGCGGGACATGGAAACAAAGACGACCAGACACTTGAAAATCGTTGACAGTTCCACACCAGAACGGCCCAATAATAGCCACGAGGCTTTGTCTTCCAGGGCGGGTGCCGGGTGCCGGGTGCCCGGGTACCTGGTGCCCTGTAGCCCTATAGCCTTGTAGCCCTATATAGTTATCGCCCTATCGCCCTTTAGCCCTATATAGCCCTAGAGTAGCCTTATAGCCCTATAGCCCAATAGCCCCAAATAAAGTCTGATTGGGGTTTTTCTCCGGTATCATACTTCTTTGCCCCCCATGTGGCACAGTTGCAGGGCATAGAGTTGGTTTGGAAACAGCGACCGACAAGTTACAACGTATACGCGATGGATTACTATAACTTCTCCATATGATACCAGAGAAAAACCCCAATCAGGGCTATAGGGCTATAGGGCTATGGAGCTATAGGGCTATAGAGCTTCTATAGGGCTATAGAGTTGTAGGGCTATTGGGCTATGAGCTATAGGGCACCCCCGGGCACCCCGGGCACCCCCGGGCACGCCCGGGCACCCGGGCACCCGGGCGAGGGCACCCCGGGCCCCCCCCCGGGCACCCGGGCCCCAGGCATCCCCGAGCACCCCGGCGTGCAGCGAAAATCGGCGACAAACCTAACCTAACCGTATGAATCCGCTGGGACCCCTACGGAGGCAAGCTCTGATTGGGGAAATATCCGAGCAAGCGGCAACGCTCCTCAGCAATAGCAGAGAGACAAGTGTTTCGGCATTCCCCTGGACTTGGAGGACGCACGCTGGATTCATGTATACGGTTCATATAGCAATGCCTTCCATCGCGGTCTTTTTAGCCCTCGGATATTGTGTGCCCTCGTGCGTATCTTGTACCTGGTAGGCGATGTGAAGGTGCCCTTGCAACGACAACGATGATGATGGGGCGGCTTCGTAAAGCGAAACAGTCACAGATCGCTCTGAATTTCGACGCGGCCAACGCCTTCGATTGCGTGACGCAAGACTCGATTATCTCCCCTACCAACTCGCAGTGCGACGCTGACATGGACGATCGCATCGGCGGATGCGTCACTGAATTCGAAGCGATCGATGGTCGAGTTAATTTTCATCACGGCGAGGGCGTAACACAGGGCAGCTCTTTGGGCGCAGGTATTTTGAGAAGCCGTACGGTGCATCAATTGACGACGGGCGAGCCGATACCTTGGAGCCGTCATTGCAGGTGACGCTGGTCACTCACGACAGCGTCGTCGATTGTTCGATTGCTGGTTGGTGGAGGACGTCAGGCGAATGATATGTGTGAACGGCTTCGCCAACATACATGACAAGACATCTCGATGTCTTGGATCATTATCCGAACATCTCGTGGAGATCGGCTGCGCTCATAACGAGAAGAAGCTGGAGGCCACAACCTTTTCATGGAGCGGATTCAGGAGGTATACAGAGGAGCGCTTATGCAGATCAACGGATGCCAGGTCGAGTACTACGTGAAACACACTATCTTGGACCCACGATTCATTACAGACGGTATACTGGAGTGGAGCTTCAACGACGAGTGCAAACATGCAGAAATAATTTGTATATGTTTCACAAATTCTGGTTCAGCAAAATTTGTCGTGAGTTCAAGCTAGTATTGTTTCGCATGATGTGTTTGTCTTGTCTTCTGTCTGGTGTCCTGGGGCTCCCCCTTCAGCAAGGATTGCGAGGCCAAGCTCGACAGAACTCAGATGTGGTACTGTCGCAAGCTAATGATGGGCACCGCGACCGAGACCACTCCACTCTCGTCCCCGACGGCACCGGGAAGAAGACCCGCCTCTCGGCTGCTCGTGTTTTGCAGATGCTCCGACTGGCACCAGTCTCGTTGAAGCTCAGGATTCAAAGACTTCGGTGGTACCAATCAATGTTCAGGACCCCTGAGAAAACGAGCTGGCCTCCCAAATGCCCTTTGAGCAGGATCCTCGGGACCACACCCGGCACGGCTCGTGCACATTTCTCGTGAAAAGAATGATG